CAGTGGAAATGGCCATGACATGGGCCCTTTAAAATAAAAAACATCTATATTGTTCTGACTCTTCTACATCCAACTCACAGGTTTATCATTACTTTGAGGAAAAAGAATATTAATTTAACCCTTCTAGAAGGGAAGATATGGTCATTTGTTCTGGGAATGTCATTTTCGAGCCTGAGACCTGAAAAACAGGCTCAGCTTAACAGGTTAAGTACCTTTTTAATTTATGATTTTTTTTTCACTTATAATGGAGTATTTTTAAATGTTCAAGTAACTGAACTGAGTCTAGATTATTGTGACACATTTCCAGTTGTCTTCATTTAGTGCTGTGCAACCTGTCGCCGGAGGTTTATTTTGAGTTGTGCGCATAGACTGTATATATAAAGGTTGGCGGGTGGGGCTGTGAATCGGACCAATCAGAATCGTTTCAGCACAGGAACTTCCTGCTCCGACAGAGAGGAGCTGAAGGCTGTTTTTTGCCAGCTGGTCGCTGCGACTCGCAGCTACGTCTCGCAGCTACGTCTCGCAGCTACGTCTCGCAGCTACGTCTCGCAGCTACGTCAACTATTTAAGACAACAACAAGTTAACTTAGGCATTTCATTACAAACAGCGAGCTTTACAAATGTCGCAACGGACCAACAGGACTCCACAGCATGACGTTGAAAAACTCTAACAGGGAGTCAGGCTGAAACTGCCAAGCCTCATGAAAAAGAGAGTTTTATTGTCCTAGCTTGCTGGCTAACGTTAGCTATTTGTCTGGCGAGTTACAGACAGAGAGGGATGTCTTTACGGTACAAATACCGGCGCCCTCTGCCGAGCATAAAGCAGGGTCATGATGAAGACTCGGATGCGGAGGAGCCTCCACCGGGTGATTGGCTAATGGTTACACAAGCCAAAAAATCGTTATGACATCATAAAGTTGCCAAAATCTGATCAGCTCCTTTTCAGTCAGGTTTTTATATAAATGGATCAGGACAAAAAGTGAGCGAATCCTTTTTCCTGAAACTTTCAGAATATCTTTACACATGTTTATAAAAGATATGAAAAAGTGGATTTTGCATAATAGATAGACATACAAATATAAAGGTATACCCTTTAAGTATGGGCTCAGAACAGTCTCATAATACACACATGCACACAGAAGGATTCACACTTGTATTTCATGATCCGCAAAAGGATTCACACTTGTATTTCCGGATCCACACTTGTGTTTTTCAATGCACACACAAATGTGTTCCGTTTCATGTACATGTAAATAAAATCCAAATACAGAAAAAAGTTTTACATATGTATTTTTGATCCACACATATTTGTTTTCCGTTTAAAACCGCTGCACCTGCAAACACAAACCGCTTTCTGCGCATGGATCGCTGTGCATTCGTGTGTGGGTTTTTTGAGACTCCCCTGACGGTCACCCGATTCGTATACGGTATATCATCCATTCCTCCCCGTTGTCGGCATCTTGCCTATCGCAGCCGGGGCGTTTTAGGACGAGGCCTCAGTGTGGTAGTCCCGTCCCCGTGATGTATTTTCCGCCAGGATCTGGCTGGACGAAATCAAATGCAAATCACAAAATATTAGAGAAACTTAGTTGTTTTAGATTTGTTAGTAGTAGTTGTGGTAGGAGTGTGGATCTATCTAATCCATCTATATAATCAACACAGTAAGCTTGCCAGCTAATATGCTAACCTAGCTTTCTTGTTTACCTTAGCAAACACGATATGAACGTTAGCTCGGAGGAACGGTAACTATAATGGAGTGTAATAAAACTACTATGAACAAAAGCTAGTGGTTCATATTAGGCTAGCAATAACGTGTTTATAATTGCAATCTTATACGGGTAGTCTGCTGCGTTCGGTCATACAATGTTTCTATATAATCAACACAGTAAGCTTGCCAGCTAATATGCTAACCTAGCTTTCTTGTTTACCTTAGCAAACACGATATGAACGTTAGCTCGGAGGAAAGGCAACTATAATGGAGTGTAATAAAACTACTATGAACAAAAGCTAGTGGTTCATATTAGGCTAGCAATAACGTGTTTATAATTGCAATCTTATACGGGTAGTCTGCTACGTTCGGTCATACAATGTTTCCCGCTAGCATGTATAGCTAGCCTCGTTAGCTATACATGCTATCAGCGTCGGAGGAAAGCTAACTGTAATGTACCGTCCTTTGGGGGTCTGTCAGCGGGCAAAGAGAGGGGATTTCCCCGTTGTCTCTGCTGGAAGTGTGAAATAAACTTAGTTGTTTGATGTTCGTCAGCTTGCCAGCTGGATTACAATGCTAATCTACGTTTGCTAGTTGTTCAGTTGTTCAATATGCTATACTATACTATGAACAACAGATAGTGGTTCATATTAGGCTATCAAGCACATGTTTACAATTGCAATCTTATATGGGTAGTCTGCTACATTCATTGTAGCTGGCATAAAAAAAATGTTTTTCCGAGCAAACTCATGTCTAGCTCTTAGTAGCCTTGTTGTTTAGCTCGGTAGCATACACGCTACGCCAGCTATAATGTAATTACGTTTCGCGACTGACCGTACGGCAAATCACCCGGAGTATACTGTCTATGAGTATTTCGTGTGTGAATGCAGACATTCTCCTGCTATGAGATACATGTATGTAAGGCCATCTGCTGATATTAGAGTTGATATGGAAACGCTAGCAACTTAGTTAGCACAGTTAGCACTGGCTTAGCAGTCCGAAACATGTTTACACATTTAAACAGTTGTGGTAGATACCTTGTTTGATAAATACACAAATAACAATGCAAACTTACAGGTTGTGTACCCGAATCTTCCCCCTCTCCAAACGGTCCAAACAAACTAGGAATAGCATCGTCCTTCAGTTTCAAATGCTGTGCATATCCGGCCTCAAACTGGGCAATGTTTTGGAAGCTTTCGTCTGTGAAATGCCGGTTCTTCGAACCTCTGAAGGAACAGTGTTAAAAAGAAATTTCAACCACTGACTTCATCGTGGTTCTTCCGTCGGTAGGACACACAGCTCAGATTTCTCCTCACATTTCAGGAAACAGGTCCTTGGCATTGGCATGACTGGATCGATTGTGAACTGAACCAGAGCTTCCAACAGTAAATGTTAGGCTGGCAGAGGGTGCGGCCAGCGCCGCTGGGTGTGGCCATAGCTCTTCGGGATTGGTCCATTTCGTTCCGGGTACCGCATGACATCATGCGGTACCCGGAACTAAATGGAAGACTCAAATGGGCAGTGACGTATCTCCAACGAGGCGTTTTGGGGAGGTATTTTCTGTGTTAGAGTTTTACTCGCTACAGGGTGTACTTTGAGGGTTTTGACTCTGCACACCGTTTACATGCATAAAAACCTTCATAACACACAAGGGGACGGGTAATAACCGGAAAAGCATGACATGGGAGCTTTAAATGTGTGTTTCCTGTATGGCGAATACAGTTGCTTTATTTATGTCTGTATGAAGTTGTTGTGAGTGTGGAGGGAGCAGCTACAGGTTAGCTTTGCCTAATCGATCAGTGCACTACGAAGCCAGTGCTAGACAGTGAACTGTCAACGGGGGAGCCCCGCCGGTCATTATCGGCCGATATTCACTCTTAATAGTTTGATCGGTGCTCTCTATAAAGGCCGAACAGGAGAGCTGGATCTGATCGATATGGACATAAACGCGAGTGAAGTTTTAGCGAGCTGCATGAGAAACTGACGGGCTGTCAGGAGAGAGGGAGGGAGAGAGGAAAAGAGGGGATCCGTTACTCCCGTGTTATTAGCCATATCCGGTCATAGTCCGGTAATTACCTGCTAACGGAAACTCTGCTACACAATTCTTCTTCTTCTTCTTCTTCTTCTTATTATTATTGAAACATGACCGGTAAGTTTCAAATTTGTCCGGTAAAATAAATTCTGTCCACCCTGCTCCGGACAGCGCAAAATGCGTATATGAAGTGTCATGAACGCAAGAAATCTACCCTCGTGGGGACGCGCTCATGTGATTGGCTTAGAATTGAGGAGACATCTGATTGGCTATAGATAGAAAAAATTACAAGTACGAATCGGGTCACCGTCAGGGGAGTTTCAAAAAACCCACACACGAATGCACAGCGATCCATGCACAGAAGGCGGTTTGTGTTTGCAGGTTCAGGGGATTTAAACGGAAAACAAATATGTGAGGATCAAAAATACATATGTAAAACTTTTTTCTGTATTTGGATTTTATTTACATGTATATGAAACGGAACACATTTGTGTGTGCATTGAAAAACACAAGTGTGGATCCGGAAATACAAGTGTGAATCCTTTTGCGGATCATGAAATACAAGTGTGAATCCTTCTGTGTGCATGTGTGTATTATGAGACTGTTCTGAGCCCATATTTAAGCAGTCTACATTTAGCTGATGTTAATATTTCCTTACTTCTACTTAAAGGAGTGGAGAAACTAGCTCGAGTGCGCTAGAATTTGAAATACGCAGCCGAAAAAAATCTGCCACTTCCTTCAGAGCCCCTCCACCAACACACACGAATGCGCACATGACCAATGAGGGCACGAGATAAGTTTGTGCAGGAGATGGAAGGCTGACAGGCAGGTAGGCCATCCCGGCGAAAATAATTGGTCGTGCTTTTTACAGCGCCACGGCTTCCACAGATGACATTTTTTAATGTATTTATTGTCATAGCATTTCATGTATTCATTGCTATCGGGATGTTAAGAGCATTCCATGGAATATAACAAAAAGTGTTTCTGAAGTGAATTACCTACCCCACCTTTAAGTACCTTTTTAATTTATGATTTTTTTTTCACTTATAATGGAGTATTTTTAAATGTTCAAGTAACTGAACTGAGTCTAGATTATTGTGACACATTTCCAGTTGCCTTCATTCAGTGCTGTGCAACCTGTCACCGGAGGTTTATTTTGAGTTCTGCGCATAGACTGTATATATAAAGGTTGGCGGGTGGGGCTGTGACTCGGACCAATCAGAATCGTTTCAGCACAGGAACTTCCTGCTCCGACAGAGAGGAGCTGAAGGCTGTTTTTTGCCAGCTGGTCGCTGCGACTCGCAGCTACGTCAACTATTTAAGACAACAACAAGTTAACTTAGGCATTTCATTACAAACAGCGAGCTTTACAAATGTCGCAACGGACCAACAGGACTCCACAGCATGACGTTGAAAAACTCTAACGGGGAGTCAGGCTGAAACTGCCAAGCCTCATGAAAAAGAGAGTTTTATTGTCCTAGCTTGCTGGCTAACGTTAGCTATTTGTCTGGTGGATACAGACGGAGAGGGATGTCTTTACGGTACAAATACCGGCGCCCTCCGCCGAGCATAAAGCAGGGTCATGATGAAGACTCGGATGCGGAGGAGCCTCCACCGGGTCTGCTGATCAGGGTGGACGGGCTGGAGAACCAGGTCATCCACAGCGGACACTTCATGGTGTCTTCGCCGCACATCGAGCACCCTCCGAAGAAAGGCTACGACTTCGACACTGTCAACAAACAGACCTGTCAAACTTATCATTTTGGGAAGGCGAGCATGTCCCACCTCTCCATAGATGCTTCACTGACCAAACTCTTTGAGTGCATGACTCTAGCGTACAGGTATGTTATTGTAATAATAACACATCTTAACCCCCCCCCGTATAACTATTCATGTTATCTCTTCAACTGTGCACATCAGAACATTAAGGAAAGGGATCGGACACTTGCTGTCACGAGGCCAGCAATGTCACTCCTCTTATTGTCACTTCCTGCTTGACCACTCATGATTCTGGTCAAGGGAAACATCTTTAAATATAAATTATGTATATTTGTACCAATACCATACCGTAATATGATGAATTGGAAATGGGGGACCCTGATGTAAACAAGACGAAAGTCTTTCTCTGGTCTGCATCCCCTTAACAATTGTATGTTTTGAGCTGTACTGTACTGTACCCAATATACAAGCTGTTAATAAACTTTTCATTCAATCAATCAATCAAACCACTGAGTAGGTATACCACTAGTAAGCATACTCCATCACAAGCACAAGTGCTGCACTTAATTCTACCTAAGTATAGGATGTAATACAGATGTATAACCGCTAATAAGTCTTAAGATAAAATGCATTCAATACATTTTAGTACATTTTCTTTCTTCGGGCCCCAAGCAGTTATTTAAAAATAACCATTTGCGAAGCTTTAAGAGGAAATGCTAACAATACATAGACATCTGAAATGGGTCCCGAGCCAAACAAATTGTAAAACCCTTTAATTGATCTTATCAAATGTTTGTTTTTTTTAAACATATATATATATATTTTTATTAAGTAGCCTAAAATGGGAACACTCAAGTAAAGATAGATAGATAGATAGATACTTTATCAATCCCAAATTGGAAAATGATTTAGTTACAGGGCCAGTGTGTTCAACATTAAAATACAAATACTTAAGAAGCTGAATAGTTAACAATAAAAAAAAAAAAAAATAGTATATCAAATATAAACAATATAACAAATTCTCTATACAATGTTCTTTTTAAAAGGTCAAAAATACTGCAGTAGCAGGAATATAGGTTTATACTATACTGTATATACATATGATAGTATATCATTTAGAGATATACAGACAATTGCAAATCACTTTGTGTTTATACTTCAGTATAGTACTAGTAGTAACTAGTATGTCATGTGTACTCTTTTATTGGGACATGAGGACTGGTGACAGGGCCTGATAAACTCAGATCACACTCTCGTTGCTCTTAAAAAGAGAGATCATTTTTCTAACTTGCATGGGCTGGAACGATTTAAACAAGCAACCAGGAACTAACTTTCATTTTCGGTGGTGTTGTGCCCAAACTAGATGCAATCAGAGCTTTGGCACGTCTTGCTACCACAGAAGTTACCACAGGCTATGCAAGTCTTTAATCTCAGCCGAAAGACAAGGGCTTCTCTCATGGCAGAGAGATACTGCTTTGTTTTGATAGTGTTGAAACACTGGCAGCAGGCACTGTTCAGGACTTGTTCAGTCAGGCTTTTTCACATTTAAGATGATTGTTTGTAAATGGGCTTAATGTGAGGTACCTATCCATAGTCTTTGTACCTTAACCATCGTACCCATGATTCTGTGTTTACTGTAGTGTAGTTAATCTAATTACTCTACTGGGCTGCAGAACCATCTGCTCAGGGGATTCCCTCTGACTTTGCAAATGGCACCAACTTGGATTCAACTATTTATAGACTAGGAAAGCATTACTACCAGTTAATGTTCTGCTGTTGTTTTAAACTCAAGTGATGACTATGTATGTACATGAAGAGCCTTTAATAACAACAAGAACATCAGGGGATCTGTAAAATACAGCTTTTTCTCTGTTCAAATTGTACTACCCGCTTACTTATTGGAAAAGCTTTTTAAACAGTATTCATAAAAAAATGAAGCACATAAATGACAACAGGGAAAGGCTGGACAGGAAGAGGAAGGAAGGAAAGAGGGGAACTCTGAGCTCACCCTTTTGGATCGTGGTAAACATTTCCCTATCTAAGCAGATTTTAAAGTTATTCTCCACTGTCCCCTTCAAATAAAACCTAAACTAAAGTCATGTTATTTGAAAAACTTTTTAAAATGTCGGTGCATATAACTGTTATGATCCATTAATAATAATACACTCAGCATTCTTTAGGCAACAAAGTTTTAATCCAATACGTTGCAACTCACTTTTTTATTATAGTCGGTTTGACTTAAAAACACTTTTTTTATCAGACCGCCCACAGCTTTGGTTATGTAATGCCACTGTGCTGTAATAAAAAGTTTCACATACTGTAACCATAATAGTGATGAATCCCTCCGATGAGGCCTTGATTTCATTTGATAGTGCACGTGTGTTGGCTCTCTGTTTAGTTGACTCTAAACTTGAGTTGTTTCCATATCAAACTTGTAGTTATCAATCTTACTTGAGCGTGGCCTTGGCAGATGCTTGTTTGTTTTGTTTGCTTTATCTCTGGAGGTCTTTTCGTTGCACTGCCAGTGCAAGCAACCTTTTTTTATTTTAAGTCATGTGTACACCATAGATTGAGCACATTGAGATCCTCAGGGTAGAGTTTAGTGTTTTTCTGCAAGAACAGAATGTACAATGTGTCATTTGTTAGAGGCATTCTTCCAGGGCTTAGTGTACTCGTATGAGAAGCCACCTTCAGATAAGTCCGTCATCAGACATGTAACTCCTGTTACTAAGCCCTAGGGCTTAGTAACAGGAGTTACATGTCTGATGACGGCTGCTCGATTATGGCAGAAATCATAATCTCGATTATTTGGGTCAATAATTGATATCACGATTATTAAAAACGATTATCCATTTACTTTGAAAACATCCATTTATTGAAAAAAAAATGTGAACAGTATGTTTTTAGCAGTTGATTACCCTGAACTTTAAGTATAATTCAACTGAAAAACCAATAAAAAAAATAAATCGTTTTATTTCGATTATGTTGTTTTCATAATCGTTGCAAGCCAAAATCGTAATTGCGATTAAAATACGATTAATTGAGCAGCCCTACTAAGCCGTGCTATCTTACCTTTTACTGAGTGATGGATGCTGGAGCAGTGTTACAGCGAGCTAGCCTCATTCTCTTTCTTATTAATGGTTAAAGTAATTGACAAGCGTCAGGTTCAAAGTGACTTTTTAAAAGCCTCTGGGAGAGACAAAACATTTCTTCCTGCTGCTTCATGTTGTAATCCCGTCATCCCTAACAAAAATAGAGCATATAAAATTACTGATAAAACAAACTTTTTTAATATTCTCAGTTAAGGTGTTTTTGTAGGGTGCTAGAATAAGTATTTTAATCTGTTGAAAATGTTTTTATCTTCCACAAGCAAGAATAGAATAAGGATTATTCTGCTGAGGATTATGATCTTTGAACGTTTTAATTATTATTGAGCTATTAATGAACTTGTGCAAGTAAGCCAACAATTGTGTATCATAAAATGACTTGTGTCATGTCCTTGTCTTTTCAGTGGGAAGTTGGTATCTCCCAAATGGAAAAACTTCAAAGGTCTAAAACTGCTTTGGAGAGACAAGATCCGTCTCAACAACGCCATATGGAGAGCCTGGTATATGCAGTGTAAGAGTTCAACTTTCATTTGTCTTCCATAGAGCGTGTACACTGCATTGTTAGTATTTAGTTTAATATGACTTTTTAACATCTCTTTCATCAAGCTGGGGCGAGAAGACGTCAGGATCAACGCTTTACTTTTCTTCTTGGTTAATACGTTTGGTTTATAACAAACTAACAGAACTCGCAACATTATCTGTAAAATGATTAACTGGGTTTTGTTTTTCATGATTTTAAGATCATATTTGAACCCTGTTCGCAACTTGCTGCAATATTATTGTTCGTTTACATGCCACGAGTGGATTGGTTACAGTGACTGTTAGTTATTCTACACAGACACTTTTGTGTTAAGTACCTAAGTGTCTTCATCAAAACATTTGAAATAAGGCAATCGTAAAACATAATAAAACCCTCTGCATAAATGAATGGCAACATTGTTTGAGTCTGTTAAGTTTTACATGATACTTCTTGTATTTATTTGTAAATTAAGCTCTTCATGTCACTGCTCCCCCATGACAGCAAATTGGCAATTGGCATAAAATCCTATTGTCTCATCCCTAATTGTTAATGTAATTTAACAGTATGAATAACAACCACTGTGCATTTCACCTGGGGTGACATGGAAGTTGTTTTTCTACCCCCAGATGTGGAGAGAAGGGAGAATCCTGTGTGTCACTTTGCAACTCCCCTGGATGGAAACATGGACTTGGACGTCCATCGTCCTGCAGAGGTAAAGACAGAAACATTTGACTATTATGATGTACGCAACGGCAATTCAAACTTTGTTGTGTTGTTTCTTGTCACCGAATTCCTCCATTCATTTGTTTCTGTTCTCTCTTAAACACTTGTATTTATGTTTCACTTGTAACTTCAATTATTCCCCATCTCCCTCTTTTTTGAAGGGCATTGCCACAGAGGGGAAATGCTTGAAAAGGAGGATTGAAATTGTCATCAGAGAATACCACAAGTGGAGAACATACTTTAAAAAAAGGGTATTCTATTTTTCAATTGTGTATATAAAGGCTCTGTAATAGTTCAGAGAGATACTGGGTATTCTGTATCTAATCCTATATGTTTTACTGCTCATTAACATTCATATCTATCTCTTTTATAGTTACAAAAGCACAAGGATGATGACCTCTCAAGCTTACTTAAGGTATGTAAAACTGCATCATGTTCAACCCACCAAAGTGCTTTTAGCTCCAACATGAATTAACCCATGCTAACCCAGTCACCCTCACATTATGACTTACCTTTCAATGGATAAACCTGGCGATATAAACAAATTCCTATTGACTAGTTTCACTTAATTGATCTTGCTGTCAGAGTAAAATATTTTGTATATATGCATTTATAAATGTGTTTCTAGTGCATGACGTGTGGATACAAAGTGTTGTTTATAGTTTAGTGTATCCCATGCTTGCGGTACTCAACACTGCATGCTTGTGTGTCATTAACTGGCTTGCTGGTTGCATTTTGAACACCCAAAGGGACCCGAGGAGCAGTTTTCGCTGTTTGGGGAAGTCTCTCCAGACATGCTCCGTGTCTCATTTTATCAGGATGAAGAGACTGCAGTTCGCCGTGTGCCTCGTAGGCATAATGAAATGCCGGCCCCCATGGAGATGGACCCCCTCTTTGACATGGATGTTCTGATGTCTGAGTTTTCAGACACGTTGTTCTCAACCTTGGCCTCGCACCAGCACATAGCATGGCCTAATCCAAGGGAGATTGGTGAGAAAAGCATTGTATTTTATGTGGTCATAAGACATCATAAATAGATTTTTATTGTCTCCTACTTTCTCAGTAATTTAAAGGAATATTAACCCCCTGTGTTACTCAGAACTGTTGAAAAAAACGTTAAAGACTTGAAGAATTTCTGAACTTGATTACTTGTAGTGGCCGGGTTTAATAACAGCAAAACTTAGTAAATACAAATCTAAAACACTGGTTTATATTTATCCTTACATGTTATTAAGAAATACATATTTTGAGACTATGTCCAAACTGTTTCCAAGTTTAATTTATCCACTCATATGCTCACTGCTTCCCAAACACATGCATTTAGCTAAAACCTTCCTATTTAAAACTCTACCACATAAACAGTGTCCCTCATGCACAGGCATGCTTCTTGTCTGTGCGAGTCTAAAGTGTTTTAGAAACTTGATGTATGAGAGTTTAAAAATGTATGTTTTGATATAGTATTGATGCTGTTAAAACGGCCCTAATATTATTTTCATTTATCAAGTCTTTACTCCGATTTCTGATTCAAGGTAACACAGGGTAAGTAAGAGATATACAAATGATCATTTTGGAGGGATACTATTGCTTTATTTATTGGTAATTTACTTTGTATTCCCCCTCCTCTCCTTACCTCTGCCTCTTTACCTTCTACAGCTCATGCTGGGAACGCAGACATGATCCAACCTGGACTCATCCCTTTACAACCCAACCTAGACTTCATGGACTCCTTTGATCCACTGCAAGGTAGGAGTAAGGCACCACCTGTAGCTGCTGTAGTGGTGCACACACACTTTACAGGAATCAACGCACATGTTCTAGTAACTCTGGAAAAGCAGTTTGCTTAGCCTAACGCACAAAGTAGTGTGGTTTTACTAACCTCTAGCTAACATAGAGACTCTTGTTCCAGACTTATTTCACAGCCTCCGTCCGCCCGTCTTCCCCTCTGTTTTACCCACTGCACCATCTGTCACCCCTCTACCCAGCAGCAGCTCTCGGTCCCAGGTAAACACACATAAAGCCACATCCCCTAACACACACCACCAGCAAGAGATTTGTCCAACGACTGTTATTTTTCCTCAATTTGTTTGTGATTGTGGTCAATTGATGAGGATATTTGTGACTTGCTCTATCGAAATCAGTCGCATTGACCCGAAGACACATTTTGAGTTGTATACACTCTTGGAAAGAGGAGATTCCTAGCTTTCTAATGATATCAGGATTGTTTTTGTACTCCAAATATTAAGCAAAATATGTTACATTATATAATGACTGTCACCGAGTCATCATTTTGAGAAAAAGGCCTTCAAAATGTCCTCTTCTCTGGAATCCATCGATCTGATTGATTATTAGCGGCTAATAAATGATCAAAATAGTCCGGAGGGAAAATATTTTCGTTTGGATTACTGGTCTGGGGGAAGCTCGCGAGTGTGTATGTATGTGTGTGTGTGTTTGTGTATTTTTGCGTTTGTGTGTATTGTGTTTGTTTCCCGGGGAAAACACTCACGAGAAACACTGGCTGTTGTTATAACTGCTGTGACGTTTAGTTACTCCGTTCTCCGCTTGTAATTATGCTGTTACAAGCTTCAAAGTTGTATTTATCATCTGAATTTGCCGAAACAAGTTTAATATTCTGAAAGCCAAGACATTGTTTATTTGAAATCAGATGAAAACAAACTGTAACGGACCCTGCCGTGTTATCTATGATTACTATACGCCTTACATTCATAATTTCAGCCGGAGGGAGGGGAAGCAGCGCTGCGGAACAGCACGAGTGCGAGTGAGAGCTGTCATCTTCCCTTTACAAGCTTCAAAGATTTATTTATCGTGTGATTTTGGAGATAAAAGTTTCATATTCTGAAAGCCAAGACTTTGTTTAGTTAAAATCAAACAAAACACCCGAACCCCGAAAAACAATTTTTTTATGCAATTCCACGTTTATTTTGAAATGAGCCGTTGCGAATTCCGACTGATTTCGATAGAGCGGGTCACATTTGTCACATCTTCTAACATGTTTCTGTCTTAATGTAGTTACACACACAACACAACTATGTAACATAATATTACTAAAATGTATTCACATAGCACTTTTCATGCATTACTTATTCCTCTGCTTAACATTAAACTTATTTTCCTTTCTAGAATCTAAAACATTTAAAATTAATTTTACTTTTATTTCATGCCATCATCCTCTCTGAAGTTCTCCCTGTAGTACTTAATGATGTTGTATTTACTGTCGGATCAAAAATGCAGTTTTACCATCAGTCTTTCTCTGATTTTAAAGGTACACATAGAAAACTAAAACTGTATCTAAGAGTTGTACAGAAGTCATTATTTGTCAGTGTAGTTAGGGACATGTTCATGGACACATTCTTAAAAACAAATAATAATATTTCACTAGCAGGGACCACGCCACAACAGTGTGATATTTGTAGCCTTATTGAATGAAGTAACAATGAATTGATATGGAGGTGGTGATGAGATGTTTATGATGAATGACGTCTGTTGGTCTGGTCTGGGAAGACGTGCTGTGGTCCGTGCAGAGGGAGACTGAGTGGGGGTTCTGTCTCCGGCATGATCCGCTCAGGCTGATTACGGGCCCCCAAAAGAGTCCGATTAAATGGAGCTGAGTTGAGCGTGTGCATGTCTGAGATTGTTTAGATTGTTGCAGATGTAAGCGTGGTTTGCTTGGGATAACCAGTGGCCGAGGACCTGGATGGTTTGATTGTAGATGCCCAGTCTCGCCGCTGTGGACGCTGCACCGATGTGGACGCTGCACCGATGTGGAAGGAATGGCTCGACTAATGTTCTTAGAATATCCCAGAAATACGCAGGATGTTTTGAAAATGAAATGTGTGGCCATTTTTACTGTTTCGGTGAGAAGAGTGGATGTTGAGGCGTCGGGTGGGCAGCGCACCTAGCGCTGAGGTATTTTGTTAGCGGCTCGTATGGGATGAGATAGGAGTTGAGGCGGAAGATGTAGATGGGGAAAGAAATTCCCAGCTGATCTGTTTTAGTCCTTCGTAGTATGTTAGATAGGCTGAGATGATGATGAGGATTGTAGGCAGATGAAGTAGAAGCAAATTCGGAGCATCGCAGGAAGCCAAAAAATGCTAGCAGAAACATGCATTCGCGGGTGAGGTCGACCATGGGTGATAAGTATCCTGAGCCTAGGGAACGGATGCAGAGGCTGAGAAGGTCAGAAGTGAGTGGCAGTCGTTTGGCGGTGAGGAAGGGTTCCTGCTTACGCAAGCCTTTGATCAGCATTGGGACGTGGAAGGACATTGTTGGCCACTGGCTATTTTTTATAAAGAAGTTGATTCCTGCCAAGTATGTCTGAATGGTGGAGGTCTGGCATTTCCGGATGGAATGACAGGGTAATGAAATTGCAGATGGATATGACGTGTGTGTGGAATGGTAGCTGGTATGTGCCGTGATATGCCTTAAAGCAATTCCAGCCTGTAATATACGCTGACATGGTGCTTGGGGCAAGGCTGTTGAGGATGGCTTCCCGTGAAGCGTGAGAGAGCATTTCCAGTTGTGGACTTAATTGAATGTTGTTGCTGAAAATGGTGGGACTGGTATGGGATGAAGATCCAATTCTGGGGCCAAGTTTCTGAATTTCTGAAACAAGACACAGACTCGGCGATGCTATTCTGATGACCTGGAATGTGTGTTGAGCTGAGATTAAAGTGAGTTTGGGCAGGAACTGCATGATGGCCAGGGAGCGAGATCGGCCTTTGTTAAGGATCTCTAAGACTGCACTGTTATCGGTGTAGACGAGTATGGCTTCCTAGACCATTCGTGCCCCCAAAGAATGGAAGCTATGATGATTGGGTACAGTTTGTGAAGCGTAGATGAAGGAGAGAGCACCTGTGAATTGAGAGCTATGAACTCCAGGCGGAAGAGAACCATCTCCCTGCATAGTAGCCGCTGAAGCCTACAGAAGGAGCTGCGTCCGTGAAGAGTTGAATATCCTCGGGTTTGGGGATGAAATCGTCATAAAAGAAGGAGATGCCATTCCATGAAGACAAGAAATGTTGCCAGAGATGCATTTGGCAAGCATCGTCTAGAACCAATTGATCGTGGATGGAGGGGACAGATGCAACTTTGTTCAGCAGGTTTGACAAGAAAGGTTTTGCTTGTGGTGTTATGCGAATGGTTGTAATTTAGGTGGCCGAGGAGGGCTAACAGTTGACGTTTTGTGCATTTGTCTGCCTGCATGTAATTTAACAGGAGAAGAGTGATGCATTTTCTCTGAGGGTAGAGAAGCCTGGAAGGACATTGAGTCCAGGGTGATGCCTAAGAACTAGGGATGTTAAGATTCACCGATTCGCATCGGTGCACCGGCATAAACGTTCAAGATGCGAGTGCACCGGTTGAAAGAGTGCACATCGGCTACAGTTTGGGTTGAACTCGCGATGCATCGATTGTAGGTAAAAAAACGATTCATTCATATAATATCCTCTCATCCTGTCAGCACTCAGCAGAGACGATCTTTGCTCCGCACTACGGAGGCCGAGAGTCTCAGTTATCAACAAACATGGAAGTCGAGGAGAAAGAGAAACACAACGCACCGAAAAATACCTACAAATCAAACGTTTGGCAACAATTCGGATTTTTCAAGAAAGACGGACAACTTGAAAAATCGCTCGCAAATTGTAAACGATGCCGTGCCGCTTTAAAGTACACAAGTAGTACGAGGAACTTAGCGACGCACATAAAGAGGCGACATGGGGTCTGCGGCTGAAAAGAGAAACCTGAAAGTAAGACATATGAGTTCAATCACTCAGTGAGGTGTAATGTCAGAGAGAGTGGTGTTTAGTTTACAGCAGCCTGTGACTGCCAATAATAGTTTACATGTCTTCCTTACAATTGTAAGCAGTTATGAAATACCTGTTTGTGAAAGGTTATTTGTATTTGTTATTGTTCATATAGAAACCACTGCTTTCTGCTCACTGGTGAGTTAGCCTATGAATGAGTGTTAAGCACATCAGGCTGGCAGTTGTATGGGCATTGCACTATGGTAGTTGTTATTTGCACATTGTTAATCATGGTCAATGCATCCTTAAATTGTTTAACTGTGAGGTGTTATACAATTGTACTGTACTCTGGAGAGTTTTTTAAGGTAAAAAAGAAACAGCATAATGGGATGTGCAGTACTAGTAGAGAGAACCAAATATGTAAAGCACCTTTTTGTTAATATATGATTTGCTGCATATAAGGAATACAACAAAATCCTCTGTCGTACCATATTGAAGTATCATTATTTTGCATCGTGTTGAATCGCATCGTATCGCCCCGTTTCGCATAATGTTGAATCAAATCGTATCGAACTGTATCGCAACAGGGGTGAATCGTATCGTATCGCACCGCCTGGTGTTTCAAATGTATCGTTAATGTATCGTATCGTTGGCAACGTATCGAGATGCGCATCGCATTGGCCTCAGTGATGGAGATGCACATCCCTACTAAGAACTCAATGGAGGTTCTAGGCCCTGAGGTTTTCTCTTCGGACAGAGGGATGCCAAGGTCTGAAAATGTTTGTATAAGTGTGTTCAGCCCATGGTGAGGATGGTGGAGACACGACGAGAAAAATCGTCGAGAAGATGGAGGACGTAGGGGAGTCTGTGAAACATGGGAAAGGGAGGATTATCGAATGGGCCTATCATGAATCCTTCTTCGATTTCTGTAGCCAGTAAGATATCGACAGTGTGAGGTTCTTTTAAAGCGGACTGAAGGTTGTAACTAGGGATGCTCCGATCGATCTCGGGTGCTCTCTAAACATGCCGATCGCGAGAGACGATCGCATGACGTAAAATACATGACACTTTTCTCTGTGCGCGGCAAAACAAGCTCGCCAAAATGGCTTCACCGGTCTGGCAGTATTTTAAGGTGTCCGAAAAAGACAGTAAAATAGCGGTATGCAACGTGTGTGTGAAGCAGAAATCCTGCAGCTCCGCCCGCTGTGACGGACCGGTGAGCGGAGCGAAACACACAAGAGTTAGACCTAACACACTTAGCTATTTTATCTACCTCTGGAACTAGCTAAACTAGTTATAAATATATTTATTCTTCACTGTCGGGTCACTCATTACTGGATCAGTGAGCTGCATGAGATACTGACAGGCTGTCAGGAGAGGGAGAGAGGAAAGGAGAGCGCTTCCGCTAATTTCTCCCGTGTTATTATCCAAAGTGAATGTAAACTTAAATAATGTACATCATTTGAATGTAATAATTAAGTTGGTTGTTTGTGGAAGCTCCAGTGAATGAGCCCCATTAACTGACTTTAAATCTTCCATTTAAAGTGATGTTTAAATCTTCCATTTAGGCCCCGCCCACTCGATCGGATCGGCAATCGGTATCGGCCGATACTGATTCCGGCGATCGGCCCCAAAATTGGCGATCGGAGCATCCCTAGTTGTGGCAGATGTGAGATGTGTTAGGGAGTATTTCTATACTTGGGTGGAAACCCTGAGTGAAGCCATTGCTAAGAAAGTAAACAAACTGTCTATCTGGATGATTTTATAAGGCAGTAGCTAGGTAATTTGCTGGATGAGGCACTGGTGCTACAAAGTTAGCTGCTCAAGGAGGAAGGTAAGCAGAAGCCGGGTTGCTGTGGACTGCTGAAGGTAGAGAAGAAGAAGGGATGAAGGGATGTATGTGCAAGGGGATTTGTGAGGCCTGTGGGCACAGGGATGAGAAGAAGGTTGATGAGCTGAAACAGGTCAGACACAGAGAGAGCAGGCACATGGGGGTAATACGGCTTGGCCCCCACCAGGGGGTGCTAGTGACTCGGGCTGTGTCCGTGGAGGTGAACGCGGGCAGCGGGCGGTGATTGGCTCTGAAGCAGGAAGAGCTGAAGGCCTTTTTGTTGTTGCCTGTGTGCTGCTGAAGGCTTTATAGAGATTAAACAGTCTTGTTTTGTTGTAGTTTCGATGGAAATGAATGCCGTGTTCTTTCAGGAAACGTTGTACTTGTATGACTGTCCACTTCGTGATGTCGAGCTCCGTTTCGGAACGCAGATTCTGCCGAGAGGCGTGTCGAGTCCGCCAAGGTGAATAGCTGGTGGCTGTGAATGAGGCATGCTGCCGATGATGGGAGGATTGGTGCTGGCTATGCCCGTTTCGGCCCCGATTTTTTGGCCCTCACTGGCGAAGGAGGCCTGGGATCTGTCTGGAGTTGGAGACATTTCCTTGAGCGGAAGTGACGGCTGGTGTGTGGGATACTGACGGCCGAGGAACGCGAGCAAAGCGAAGCAGCGCTCCCACAATGCAGTTCAGCAAAGCGTGTCACTCCATTCAAAGTGAATGGGCAGAAGCGTTGATGCTTCAATGCACGCCGCCGTGTGGACGGGCCGTTAGCCGTGATTAGCGATGGGGTTGAGGCGTGGCCATGCTCCTGAACCTAGATTAACAAATGAACTTCATTAAACAAAGAATCCTTAAACTCACTTAAAGACAGTGGAGGAGAAATAGTGGCCTCTTTGATTTGCTCTAGCTAAAACCTTGGCCTAAAAGTGGTAAAGGCATTTTGCATCTGCCTGAACGGTCTATAGAATGTAATAGAAAGTGAACACTGACACAAATGCTTTAGTTTGACAGAAATGTTTCCACAATTATCTTCTGTTTACCCTTCCGTCTTTATTGGTTGATTCTGTATTGTGGATGGGAAGTTCCTTTACCCTTTGACACTTTGAAATGCTCCGATCAGATGGAAGCGGTATAGAGTCGCTCCATTTGCGATGTAGACACGGGGTCAGAGTGTGTAATTGGTGTGTAAAAACCCTTTTTGTTGTCATAATCTTAACCAGCACAAAAATGAAATGTACATCTTTTATGAACTTACTTTTCCCTTTGTCATCCCTTATCAGACCCAGTTAATGTCCTCCATGCTCACGAGCAACCACATATCCCCTCCTGGCCCTCTGCCCATCCCCTCTCCCATGGCCAGTCAAACCAGTCCAACAGGAGGTGCTGGGGGTGGTGGTCGTGATTCTGTCTATGCAAGAGACTACATGCCTCTATTTCCTGGGCAGGTGGCGCCCTGTGATCTAAGAGTAGCTTCCTCAGTCTCTCAGCCATTAAGCCATGATCCGTTATTGCAGTGCCTTTCTGGTCAGGACTTGACCTCAGCACCAGCTCTGATGGTTCCCTCACCGTTGGACAATACCTCAGCACTGGATGAGACGCACACCGCCCCCTCTACAGTCCCACCCAGCGATGCAGCCTCCACCTTCAGCCAGGCCTCAGAGTATGGCTCCATATCTGCACCCCCTTCCCAACTGCAGTCCTTGGCTCCATTACCGGCCCCTCCTGTCAGGCACCCTCAGACTTTTGTCCTGCCTCGCCCCTTTCAGTCATCCAGTTCCAACAAAAATCGCCCTGTGCAAAGGATTGCTCCTGCGAACACCCTCCCCACCTCCCACCTCATCCTCACAGGTCTGTTGTTTCTCTACTCAAAATCAAGACATTGCTTCTGCATTTGGAGAAAATGTGCATTTTACCTTGTTGATCTGTCAGTGGAGCTGTGTCACTTTAACTTAAATTACACAAGATAGCGCTCAAGCCTTTCTTATTCAGTATTTTGATTCACAATGTTGTAGTCACTGTAGTTTAGGCCACAATGATGCCTTTTGTAAGCACTGAAGTGTACGCAAGTACATTTCCTATGAATTTATTACCGTTAAACGAGGAAAATAATCTCTGTAGCAAATAAATACCATGTTATTTCTTTAATATTGTTTTTTCATTAAAATCTGAAACACATTTAAAACATTATTCAAGATACTAGAACCATACGACTGTTGAAATACTTAATAGAGCTAATATAATAAATAACTTATACAACAATTGGTTGCATTACATAGTCAACGTACAATGAAACTTGTACAGACTAATGTTAATCACCACATAGTTTATTTTCTGCAAAATCCCCTGAGGAAGAAAGGACGTGGCAGCATGTCAAAAATGATAACTCCTGAATAGATGTTCACGTATGAATGCACATAAAAGTCATCCTGCAGCGCCTCACTGTCAATGTTCATCCTCTCAGCCCCTTTCCCAGGTCATGCCAACGCTGTTATTGTTACACCAACACCTCTGAAAGCAGACGTCCATAATACTGGAGTAGTCATCGCTCCTTCTCAACTTGGAGGGGTATGTTTTCAGCTCTTATTCCTCTGTGGGTCTTTATTTTTTTAATTAACCTTTATATATACAGGAAATTGCACTTACACTTGATGTCTCATCCTCAAAAGAGATTTGAGTTGCAAATAGAACATTTAAAAACGGCAACGTTTACATTTTATAGTCATTTTCCTGTCGTTTGTAATGCATGAATGTAAAATACAAACCTTACTAAGGATCAGAGTGAGGTCATATTTTATTATTGTGCTTCTCTGTCCTCTTTTTTTTATATCCTGCCAATTTGTTCTCTTTTCCTGTATCTCAGGCTCCTGGATTTCACGTTGTGTCTCACAAGTCTCCACAACTGATAGTCCCCAAAGAAAAGTCTTCTAACCGCAAAAATCAAAAAGCCTCCTCCAGTGCCGGTGAGACTTCACTACTCCAAAAAATAAAGTCTTAAGTGTTGACCCACAACTCGTTACATGTTGGTTTTGTTTTTGTTCTCTCCAGGTCACAGTCAGCCAGGATCAGGTCAGGGATCACCGTGTGGGTTAGATCAAGCTCCTAGTCCCCAGTCGCTGATCAGCAGCAGCACTGTAACGCTGGTGAAGATTGAACAAAACCAGGTTTGTGTTTATGCGTCATTGTTTCTTAACATGAACCCGTTTATTTGCATTAATGCTAAATATATGGTGTGTGTGGATATGAATATTGAATGACATTTTGGCCTCTCGCAGACTTGGGGCAATTAATGAAAACATATTTGCAATGAATCAAAAATGACAATTTGTGTTAAAGCGTGAAAAGGGCAATCCCAATGCTGAACATGAATTAAGAAAGGCTGGATTAAATCCCTTGGCAATTGTATAAACCTGTTTATACATAAGTAGCATTTTGACTTTTTCCTCTGTAACCCATGATACAATCTCAGTCAGCCTCTGTGTAATATTTTCACTGCTGTTGTGTGACAGAGCCGAAGGACAACACACATATCTGCTGAGCAAAAGAGACGATCAAATATAAACATTGGCTATAAAACACTCTGCAACCTGATCCCTACTTTAAAGTCCCAATCCAATGTAAGTGTTTACACCTGTGTCTTATTAAAACCTCTGCAACAGATTCAGGTCGAGAGCTGCAATGAGTAGTTGATTTATCTGTTAATCGTTTGAAATACACATTTGTATCTAAGGATTAATCATTACAATCATTTTTCATAAAGAATATATGTTGTGTTTATAATATCAAACTGAATATCTTTTCTTTTTATATATCAAAACTATTAATCAAGAATATGTCGGTTAGTGGATAATGAAACTCATCGTTAGTTATTTTTCAGGATACCATTATTGTTGTTCATGTTGCTATATATAGTTTATACACATTTACTTTGCAATCTGCCTTATGATATTCATTATCATTGTGTTGTGTTTAGATCAGTAATGCCATCACGTTGCAAAAGACTGTGGATCACATTGGGAAGATCCAGCAGGAGAGGCAGCAGATGCAGGAGGAGGTCAAAAGACTACGAGAGGAGATAGAGGAGCTCAACGCCTCCATTAAGTATTTCAAATCATTCTATATGCTTCACCTCTCGTCTGATATACAAAAGTTGAACAGATACCTAACTGATTACCACTCAAATGTTTCCGCTCAACCACAGCTCGTGTCAGGAGCAGCTGCCTGCGACAGGGGTGCCCATCAGGAGGAACCGCTTCGAACACATGCAGGAGAGGTTCAAAGAATATGTGAAGAACCGCACCCTGCAGAACTGGAAGTTCTGGATTGTATCCTTACATAAAGCGGCTGATACATATTGCTGCTTATTAATAACAAAGGACAATGTACATTTAACATTTTAAAATCTTCCAATGGCTGTTGAGGACAAGCAATCTACTTTAAGTCCAGGTTATATACAGACCTCTTCAACTTCATTTAGTAGCCTTAATATGGCTCCGTGAGATGCAAGAAGAACAATTCTGGTGAACAATTTTCTAAGTCTGATCTAAATAGTTTACTGTCCTGTGTTTATGATTGAAGAACAGGTGGAAAAGGTGTGCGAAGATGATCTTTATTAGCTGTTTTTGTTTCATCTATGAAGAAGGTTGAACAAAGATTGGACCAAGAAATGTTTCAGTCATCAAAACAAACTATTTTGCCAAATGTTTTTTATTATTTTACTCATTCAGGCCACAAGAGGCTGAAGTGCACCACTACACCATGTTCAAGAAATCTAAGATCATTCATATTTTCTACCATGTGAGTTTTTATTTTCAATGAACAGTGATGTTGCAAGTTCACCTTACTAACCCACAATATATGGGTGAATAGAGACATTTAAAATGGAGAAAACATGAATGATTTTATATTGGCTTTTGTTGCCTTTTTTTCTTTAGTCATGAGCACAGGGGCAAAAATTCATTAAGATTAAACCTAGAAAATGGATCACAAGATCTGTTTAGCCACTTGTCTCTCAGGGCTTCCATACCTAGGTGTATAACCAAAAATGTACGTTAAGTTGTACAAGACACTGTATTTAGGAAGGGAAATTGCTTTGTTTTTTAACAAATGCAGAAGCCATGTATTTGCTATCAGGTGCAGTAATTATCTCTGACAGTGTTCATGTTTTAGTCATTTAATAAAGGCAGTAAAAGAAATATGTTAATGTTACAGTCTTGCGCTCTTACAGTTGGTCAGGCAGAATTGTTTTTGTCTCACTCTGTAGTGTAATAGATCCTTGACCATCATCCATTTATAGTTTAGCATCATTATCAAGCCTCTGTTTGATTCATTCAATGAGATGGTGTCAACCACAAGCAGAGCAGAGCTGTGTCAGACCACGTTGCAGTGGGTCGATCGTCACTGCTCCCTCCCAGTGCTCAGACCCAGTAAGTAAAGGACTATCAGGTGGAAATCCAGAAGAACAGATATTTTATACATCACCAGCCTTCCTACTCTATCGCAGTTTTTCCTCATGTACTCCCATTAATATCCAGGTTATCACAAAGCAGGAGATGTCCGTGTCAGACCCATCCTCCCTTACTGGAAACACTACGTTCAGTTTAAGAAAGTGGTGGCGCTTTGGTAGAGCCTGCAGGAGGCACGACATGACACGGAATACACAACGGTCACATAACTGTTCTTAAATTGGTCATTAACAACACCGTCTCTTGCTGTTCCTTGAATTTGTCTTTAGTTCGGCCATTACAGAAAAACATTTCCTAATCTCTCTCCAGTTTATGTAAATGACCACTTTTATTCACCCTTAGATATTTGTTTGCATCCGGTTGTGTTCTAGCCGACAAAGAAAATCAAAAAGCCCACTTCCTTACCGTGAAATCTCCGGACAATGAGCGGAGATCTGTTCACACATGTGCTCAATTGGACATTACACAGAAAATGACTTACTGTTTGATAACTTAGTCTGAATGATTCATACATTTGCATTCTCACATACATCTGGACTTCTGGATTTTGGGGTGGCATGTATCAAAGGGGCATATGGTTGCAAAAAACAAATCAATAGTCGGAGCATTTGCAGTCCAGCTTTGTTCTAACTCAGGGTTCCCGCGGGGTCTTAAAAAGTCTTAAAAAGTCTTAAATTTGATAATATGAATTTAAGGCCTTAAAAAGGTCTTAAATATGGCCAAAAAAATAAGAAAGGTCTTAAATATGATTTAGAAGGTCTTAAAAATGATCGGATTTGAAAGGTACTTCTGTGTTGCGATAGCGTCTAAATGTGTTTTGGGGGAAATGTCCGGGCTGCAAAGTAACCAGTATGGTAATAGCCTTTCAGTTCCCCCCAACAATTTGTATTGAAATAAATCAACATGGAACCAGTAATCACTAACTTTGTTTCCGCCGGCCCCTTATTGGAGAACACCCAGCTAGTAACCTAGCAACCAAGCTTCAGCTAGCGGCAGACAGAAACTCATGTATCTTCGAATAAATATGGGGAAGTGTAAGTTCAACCGTTATTGGTTGGAAAACATCGAATTTAGTGCTTGGTTGAAACCAGGGGAGGGGAACGTGTTTAAAGCCCGCTGCACCTTTTGCAAAATAAATTAGCGTTTGTTTGGCTAATGTAGCGTTAGCTAGTGCAGCGTTAGCTAGTGCAGCAGCTCCCGCAACAACACATTGGGACCTCCGGGCAACGTTTGGGTCTACGTCAACCCTAAAAGCGGAGGTGCTGTAGACGCTAAATACCGTAGTTAAACACCAATCATACAACAGCAACGATGAAAGATTGTAGCCAAGGCAGCAGAGCTCTGAATATAGCTCTTGTCACACTCTCTCTCTCTCACACACACACACACACACACACACACACTAGGGCTGCTCGATTATGGCAAACATCATAATCACGATTATTTTGGTCAATAATTGATATCACAATTATTAAATACAATTATTAATTGACTTTGAAAACATCCATTTATTGAACTTTAAAACAAATAATAATTTGGACAGTATCTTTTTAACTGTTGATTACCCTGAACGTATAATTCAACTGAAAAAATAAATTAAATAAATTATACATTTAAATAAATAATATCAAAAATAATAAATACCAATAAACAAGATCAACAAATATTTTGGAGCGCACTTCCACACATATGATAAATAAAAATAAATTAGACTAAAATTAATTAATCAAATATGTTGTAGTGCACTGTCACAACCTAGCAAAGCAAAATAATCGATTATGTTGTTTCGTAATTGCGATTAAAATATGATTAATTGCACAGCCCACACACACACACACACACACACAAGCACACAGAGACACACACACATACACACTTTTTGTCTAACACGCTAACACAGTTCTGTACTGTTATGCTGTTATGTTCAGTCATTGTTCTTATGTTGAACATGAATACATTTATGGGACGTATTTCTTCTTTCATAGCAATTTTCCTTCATACTTTCTTGCCGTGAAATAGGTCTTAAATTCTATTCAAAGTGGTCTTAAAAAGGTCTTAAAAAGTCTTAAATTTGAGTTGGCGAAACCTGCAGGAACCCTGCTAACTGCAAAGTGTTAGATCATTACAGTGTGTAATGGTTAAACACCTGCTATCTGTCACTGTCTCATTTTTTTCATGTAGTCATCAATCAGCCATGCCGTAACAGAAAATGTAACAGTGCATCTAACTTTCCTTTGATGTGTAGAATCACTTTCTAATCATTTTTTTCCTCCCACTTCAAAAAAATACTCTTGTATTGCTGACTCAGTGTGACTTTAACAATGACACTTGGATCTGATAATGGTGACGTCAAAGATTTCTATCAGTAAAGTCACAGTTTTAGCATTTCGCTGGAGGCTGGGCCTGCACTGCTGCAGGAAATGGTAAAGAACTAAAAGCAAACTCAGATAAAGCAAACCTCCATCAAGGCCAAATGCCCGAATAGTTTGTTCTACAATCGGGCTTAGAAACAAACAGACAAATCAAACCGAAAACAATTGCGAGAGATAATCGAAAAAACTATCGTTCCACTGTTTTACTCCATTACAGGTTGGACTGCCCCCTCAAATGTAATCATTCAGATCTGCTTGGTTATGAGACATGTTTTAAATTTCCCCTGAGTCACTGTCCTTAGCATGAAAAACAAGGCTCTTCTTATGCATTCTGGAAAAAATGCAAATATTAAATTCAGCAGTCCTAAAAGAAAGTCTTGTTATATGACACATTTGCCCAGAGTATGCAAAATAACAGCAAATCTACAACTTGGTTGCACATTAACATTTTCCAAAAGAGCTTTTTTTAACAATAGACCAAGCATCGCCTCCCACCAAGTAACCACAAATATGTCAGTCATAGTTAGTAAGTAATGAGCTTCCAAATCAAAATTGGTTTTGACATTTTTTAATCAAGTACATCCATACAGATACAGTTGTATCTTGTAAAGAAGAAAATGTTGTTTTACAGTCCAGTTTTGGTAACTAAAATGCAGTTTCTTGTTTTGTTTTTTTAGTGGTGCTGAGTACTCTTCGCAAGCTGAGCACAAACACGTCCATCCTAAGCGATCCATCCCTCCTGCCTGAAGAAGCCATCCAGGCCGTTTCACACACAGACGTGTAGCCTCGCTCTCAGAGGTGAGGCGGCCAAAAAAAACACCTGAAACTTTTAAAGCAATCATCAAAATGACATATCACTAGTTCACCTTACAGCCGCTCAGCAAGGACACCACGTCTTCCACAGATCCTCCACCTCCCTGAAAAATAAACAAAATGAAAAAATGCGAGCTAGGTCTGTCCTACTTTCACTCTGTATGTACGACGGTCCTACACTTGTTGTGTTGTACGTTGCTTCTTGGGAATAATGCACACAGGGGGCCTTATCTTTTACATTACTTTTATAACAATAGTGCAAAAATGGCTTTATCATGTTGTATTTTAATGACAACTACGTCTACCTTCGCCTATATCAGGTGAAGATCTTTTGAAAAAATCGAAAGGTGGTACTTTTTGTTTATTTGTGAACAACAATATATATAAAAAATTACTTGCATGATGTGAAAGCACAACAATGTGTTGGAAAGGGAATTATTGAGTGATTGTTCATCTTATGTTCTCTAGCAGTTGTTTAAGTGTAGAGATAAGATGCTTTCATAACAAGGAGATGGTGGAGTATAGCATTGTTTGTGGCAGCTCTGAAACCTATATAGGTTTTATATCGGAGTGTAGTGGATTGCCTGAAACGTGGTCACGAAAATCACTTGTGCTTAAAGTATAACCGATATTTTTCAACTAGGACCCTAATTCTTATGGTTTTGTATCTGACTAATGGGGAAAACAATATTTTAATATTGGTCATGCAGGGAGAGCGCTGCAATGTAACCCTTCCCGTAAATCAACCACTGTCGGTGTATTTCTACTTTAAGTGCTTTTTGGCCACTGACATGCTCATATTGTTAAATATTATTCTTTTAACTGTCTGACAGCATTATGGAAAGGACCATTCAGTGAATGAAAACCTTTTTCTTTCACTTGATCCGATCTGTTAGCCCGGAAATGTCTCCACCTGAAATCTTGTCACATCCACATTGTCAAAAACAGCAGCCATGACATTAAAATCTGTAAGATAACACTAAGCTACACTTTCTTTACTCCAACAACAGCGCTCTCCCTAAATGACCAATTTAAAAGAAATGTTAACCCATTAGTCACTAAGACTAAACTAGAATAGTGTCCAAGTTGAAAAATACCAATGTTGTGCTTTAATAAGGACAAGGAAGCAGAGTGCTGTGTCTTCTTTTCTGTCTATCATTTACTCAGGTGAACGCCTTTTTGCAAGTGGTTTTCCACCCATGCTGAACATTTTTCTTCATACGCTGCTTGCTCTGCCCGTTTCCAGTGAATTCAACTGCAAAATGTACAAGAAAGCAGTCATATTAAATACAGTATGAATGTTACATACCTGGGTCTCAACTGGGCAGGTCACAGCATCATGGAGCAATATTACTTACAACCCTCATAGGGAACTTAACTGAAATAGCAGTAGAGGTTATATATACCATATTTCACATGTACAGTGTTACAAGATCTTAGCTGAATGCAAAGTAGTCACTCAGGGCTTTGCTGGTCAGCGTAATTATTTTCCATTTAGCTGAACAAATCTAGTCTGTGTCCTTCTCCGCAGGAAACATGTCGTAGGGATGTAAGCAGGGTTCGAGTTATGTGGGAGCCAATGGGAGCTGAGCTCCCATAAGGAGGGGTCTGAGCTCCTATGAAAGCAGTGAAATCATACATCTGTGGGGGTCGCATTACCAACAACCATTATTTTAATCACAAAAAATGCATGTGGCAATGTAATGAGTCTTATTACTCGTTAACGAGGTAAATAGGCTAAAATAAAAACCTGTGTGTGTGTGTTTGTTGCGTTAGTTTTAAAGACCCCCATAAAACTCAGATTTTAACTCGAACCCTGCATGTAAGGTTACAAGTTACATTTGCCTATGTTTTTTTTCTGCTCGTAGACACACTAATTTATACCGTGGAAAGACAGAAACAGACCCAAAAACAAATAAATAACATAGTTAACCGACATATAGGTCATTGTTTTTGTTACTGACGATGCTCTGTTTCCTGCTTTGGAATAAGACAATGTGCAGTCGGCATGTCTGCCGTACATCAGCTTTAAACTCAAATGAATTGCCCTTACTTTAATTTGGTTCGGCTCTCCTCAGACAGGCAATGATTTTGGGATATTTCTTTCTTTTTGTGCAGAACAACCCTGTTTACTCTGAGTGTTACATTAGAAAATGGCAACACTGGTCTTTCTTATTTCTTGAATGTGCAGCTTTTTGTGTGTTTTATTTTGGATTGCAGATTGCAGTCTTTTATTTGTTTTTGTTTTTTTACATGATTAAAATACTTTACCTGTTAATGTACAGTCTGCTCTATACAGTAAGATAGGGATAGCAGTAATCACCGATGTCAATTAAAACATTCACAGTGACGCAAATCAATAGGCCTATGTCAAATACCCCAGTGTAACACTGCAGCATTTTATTGGTTTGTTATTTTTTCCCTTCCCCTCTGATTGTAAAATATTTGTCATACCAGGCTGAGGGTTTTTTACCTGATGATGTGAACAATCATTGCAGACTGCATCCGTTCACGTTGGCTCTTCACCAATTAAGTGTTATATTTCTATTGTTTTAAGACATAAAGAGATTTTCTATGTGTTGCATCTGTGTTTTTTTTTGTGTTCTTGCAAAGTTCCCGAATTTCTTCACCTAACAAGTTTAAAGAAGCCTTGAATGATTCGGAATCACAATAAAAACAACAATTTTGAAAATCTTGACTTGCTTTATTTTCAATGAAGTTCAATAAATATCATATTTTCACCATTTAAACAATCATTAAAATAGTTACATTTACACTACACAGTTAATATTACTTTGCTAAGCTGCTTGTCCAGACGCTCCAGCAGACATTTTACATTCCGAGAGGCCTCCAACATCTCCATGGCGGGCAGGCTGCAGTTCCTTTGGGGTACGGATTTACTCATCAGATCCTCCATGAGCTTTGTTTGCTGGCTGATCATACGCAGGTCGCTCGACAGATCTGGGGCCATCCCGGATATGGTCTGCATGTAGCAGCGAAGAAGGGAGAGGCGGTGAGCGGTTAGGGGTTGTTCCAACTCCACCAGCCACGTGATGTTCATAGAGTGGCAGGGGGTCTTGGGAAGCACTGGAGCCTGCAGGAGACACACTTGGTCAGTATGTGGCCATATCAGCAAGTAATATCAATACACTGTTTAAAATGCCAACACCCGGGATAAGTTGGACTGACCAGTGATGCTTGAACTGCACCACTTTCAGTATAATGAGATCTTTTTTACCCTGCATGTGAAGTGTCAAAGCTGTGATTTTGCAGCCAAAATACTGATTTTTGGCTATTAAAGTTATTTTTATGGATTTTAATAAGTAGCCTACCAATGCTGTTAAAGAATTACGTATAGGACTAAAGGGTAGTCAAAACACCACACTGCTACAGCTGGCTAGCATTTAAACAAATGTTGGCATATGCTTTTACCTACTTACAGTATGTAGAAATAGACATGTAGTGCATATGTTCTAGAAGAAATGATCCATTAAGTTTTAAGTTGAATAGCAACAACTCATTTTTGGAGGATTCTTTAAGTGGTTCAAAAAGTCAGTGGTTGGGCAATGTCTTCTTTTTTCTGTTGCTATGTTTACTGCCAGGTAGCTAATTTCACTAAAGGATAAATAAAGTTGTATCTTATTTATAATACATGATCAATTATACGTTGATTATGTTTTGAATTAATTATTATTGTGTTAGATAAGATAAGATAGTACTTTATTGATCCCAATTTGGGAAAAACATTTTTAAATCCAAATCTCATAAATATCTCAAGTTATTAAATAAATGTAGTTCAGTAAAAAGTACAGTTTAATGAATAAATAATAAAGTAGTCTAGATTGAATTATACTTACGAGGTCGGTCAGAGTTTTCCGTATCTCAGTCTGCATATACTTGATGGTTCTGTTCATAACCAAGTTGGGTCTGCATGCTGCTTGTGCAATAATCAGGCACAGGAAGATGATAACAGCTGCTGGGACATAAAAGATCACACAGTGGAGATAAAGAAGATTTTTTAAAACACACATGCACATAAACAGAGAAAGGGAGATCTTCTGTCACTAGGCTACTACGTTTCAAGTGTTTTTCAATTTTGCCTGCAGAAGTTGAAGATGTAGGACTGCCAGGTTTCAGAAAAGAAACAGAAGGACTTCAATATGCTTACCAGCGCGACAATCCATGACAACAGGAGGCTTTAGTCAGTAGCAGGCTGATGTGAGACTTTCTGTGATACATCTTTCTATTGATGATCCCTTTTATTGGGGATCCTTAGATAATGATCAACATTTTTACATTTCCCACTGGGTATTTCCAGTATGCTGACACAGAATAAGTCACACAATCTCAGGATTTATTTTAATTTTGTGCATGGGGATTCTCTCTGAGGAATCCCTGCACCTACACATCCCGTAACATGCTATAGTCAAACAATGATAACATCGTTTACTCACACAGGGTGTGTGTGTGTGTGTGTGTGTGTGTGTGTGTGTGTGTGTGTGTGTGTGTGTGTGTGTGTGTGTGTGTGTGTGTGTGTGTGTGTGTGTGTGTGTGTGTGTGTGTGTGTGTGTGTGTGTGTGTGTGTGTGTGTGTGTGTGTGTGTGTCAGTGTGTGAGTCTTTGGACCTTATAGTGAAGGCTGTCACAATACCAGAATCACAACTGATGTGATTCAACACAATTATCGTGACGATAATGACTCATGACACTATTATTGCAGTTTCAATAGAAAATGTGATTAAAAAAATGATAATGCTATCTTTCAAATTCATCGGTAACTTAGAAGAAGAAGTAGAAGAAGAGGACTCATCTGTGTGTAGGGCATTGGAGGATCGTGAAGACAGAAAACAGAAATAATTATATAATAGGCGCTGGCGCTATCAATAACACTAATCGCAAAATGTCAGGTATTAAACAATACAGTTATGGTCAGTACATACATTACAGTACACCATACACATATTGCAACACCTTTAATCATAGATAAGGACATATTATATATATCGAAACATTTTCCATCCTCGTGAGAATGTAAAACTTTTATCACTGCAATAGCCAAGTACTTTTCACATCTGTTCCAGTAAACCAGATTATTTATTCTTCAATGAAAAGTCCAAAACAGTATTTTAAAGGTGGCATGCATCAACCCTGTTTAATGGTTCTGCACTGGCCTATAGAGGAGGGGGGTTTAAAATATTTGGAGACACTGTCCTACACTGTTAGCACGGAGTTCATATCTAATTAAATAATGAATTATAAATTACTGACATTATTTAAGTTTGATTGAATTACTATCAAATGTAAGCATATACTACTTGCTGACTACCAAATGTAAGCATATAATACTGACATGTGTTAGTTAAGCAATGTGTCAATAATTTTAAGTTAAGTAGCTTTACATTATCAAGTTTTAGTCATGTTCACAATGCATGATGGGAAAGAGAAGGATCTTTTAATGTGCCGCGGCCACGTTTCCAGCTCGCAATTTCTCAGTCGGACGCAACCCCACTTTGAACGCCGGACTTGCACAATATGGTCTAGCTGCGGCCGCGGCCAGTACACGACACTACACGACACGCCCACTACACGACACGCCCACCTGACACGACACTACGGTGGCTGAGAGACATTACCGTACATGGCAGATTAAAAGCGAATTGACGACATTTATTATTATTGAGATCGTACATGGCAGATTAAAAACGAATTGCAAATGTTATTGTAGCATTTTAAGCAACTATTAGGCAAATAAATGAATAACCTAGTCTATCCGTTTGAGACACAACAGTATAACTTTCAACCCAAATCATTTTGTCAACAAACGGTGGTTTAGTAAACTTTTTTTTAATATATAAAATAGGTATTAATGAGATAATCTATTGATTATGTTTGTCTAACTGCTACACATGTATTTTATACATAAATGTAGATATTTGTGAACATCTAAATATAGTTGTTAAAGGTTTTAAGATATACATAATCACATCATGGGGTCATTAAGGAACAAATTAGGAGGGCCAGTCAGGCCACTAATGAGCTCAATCATTCACATGTATTATTACTTTATAAATTAAAAGTACTAGGGGTCTATTACAAAACCTTTGAAGGAATCGCATCAATTAAAATAAATGTATGGCAAGTATGATCAAATTAACATAATGTCAAGATATAGCCAATAGACAATCAACATGCTTTGAATATAAAGGAAGAAGAACAATAAACAGATGAACATTTAGGTTTTATGTGTAAATTGTGAACAAACCATCTTAATACATCTGGCAGTCTAAGACAGCAAACTAAGCTTCTTTAACTGCTGCTAGAACACAGTTTTACCATGGGGTATTTCTAACAAGACCAAAAAGATATACAAGGCTTCCAAAACAGAAGAAACCAACTCAATACAGTATTTTAATTTCCTTCAAAACGACAAAAGCACTAATAAAAACCAAATAACAATAACATAAAGGAAAAGTAATTGAAGTGGTTGCCTGTTGTAAATACCTTGGTATCTGGCTTGATGATTGTCTCTTCTCTTGCATTCGGTCATACCCCCCTTCCCATACTATTATCGGTCAAAATTGGCCGGTGTGTTTTGCAGAGTGATATTTCTGGAACCCCTTATCCCATTTTGATGGTTGACATCATTTGAACAGTCAAAGCCAGAATGACAGCAGGGTGAATTTCATTTTATAATTTTGCAATAAGTCAAAGATATGTTTACTGTATATTATAAAAATGCTTGTCATGTAGGCATACTGGAGATGGGAAGGCTTTAGTCAGTGTTGTAGCTGAGATTCTTACCGTTCCAATGATGTATTAATAATAACTTGGATTTATATAGCGCCTTTCATGAGACCCAAGGTCGCTTTAAAAAGAACAGGAGTAGAAACAAACATAACAAAAGGCAGTCAGACGAACAGTTAGACAGACAAAACAAATAGATTCAGGGCCAAAGACCTTGGCAGACTTGAGGGCCCTTTTGAAGGCGTCAAGCGTGGGGATGTTGCAGATCTCCGCAGGGAGAGCGTTCCAGAGAGTGGGGGCTGCCATACTGAAGGCTCTGTCCCCGAAGGATCGCAGGTTGGTGCGGGGGGCCAGAGTCTGAAGACCGCAGGTTCCGGGGTAGGGCATGTGGGAATTGTATTGATTTGATACAAGCAAGCCAGTGTTTCATTGTGTACTTTCAACTACAGTATATGGTCCGGCAAGTTCAGCATGCACTGCATTCACTGTGATGAATATACAATAAGACACTGATACCGTTTTCCTCAATGAACATTTATTGAACAGAACATCATGTGAAAAATGTTCCTTTTTAGTTGTAGGCTACAAAAACAACATGTTGTGGTTTTGCGCTTTGACATCAAAATGTTGGGGGCTGTGGAAATATTGTGCCATGTTGCTGCAGCAGCCGGAGCAATCACTGGAGCGGTCGTCGGGGCCATCACTGGAGGAGTCGTTGTGGTTGCTGGGGCCGCCGCCAACGTAGTTGGATGTTCAGTGCAGCAGTTTTTAAAGTGACTAATAAACATCTCCTTTCTCCCAATGATTCTTGGGCAAAAGCCACAGTGATAATGGCTGCTGGCCACACATTTGAGATGGCATTTATAAACATTATAACCTAAAAAGAGACAGAAAGTGGTTTAGAGGATTCTAGAAACAAACCAACATGAATTTCTTGTAAATATGCAAT